AATCATCCTGGAATGGTACAACTGTGATGTGCCATCAATATTTGACCTCTTGCAGGGAAAATAGCTCCCAGCAGCTTCGTCGTGTGCAAAGCATAGTTGTAGCAGACCTGGGCACATCGTTGGCGACCATTGCGATCATCCGGTTGGTGGGTGGACCATTTCATGTAATTCACTAAACTTCCATCAGTCCACGTCCACTCTCTGCTCATTGGAAAGTCCTTTTGTTGTAGGCCAATCCATGTGAAATCACGCCAGTCATTCTTCTTGCGTTCATTCGTTGCTATTCCTAAATTTGAAGCCTTTCATTATACGAGGGCTGCCTTTTATATTTCGGGAGGTGCGGCAACTCGGCCAGTGATCCGCAATTTGCACGCTGGACAGCCTCGCTATCGGAAAGTTTGACCTTTTTGATGGTTATACTCACTCCGAAGCATTGTGAGCATTTGAATGCGCTCTTTGGTGTTGTTTACACTAAGCTTAAACTATTCGGTCGGCGTTGTGAGGACAACACTGTTGGCGTTTTTCAACGCGAACAAATTTTTTTGACAGTCAAATGTTCATGCAATATTGAATGTATGCTGGTCCGAGACAACCTTAAGCTTCAAGGGGACCAGCATACATTCAATATTGCATGAACATTTGACTGTCAAAAAAATTTGTTCGCGTTGAAAACCAAACATGTTGTCCTCACCAACGGCCGACCAAAATAGTTAAAGGCACAGTTCGCGACCGCAAATTGCGGGAAACGGAACTCAAATAGGCACAAAAAAGTGCTAAGTATCTGATTAGCGGAGAAAAGCAGCAGAAAAAGCAGTCCGAAATGTTATAGAGAAAGATAACATAGTGGCTACTAGCTAGTAGCTAGCAGCCGGTGAGGGTCGGCATGGGCCTAAGGGGTGTCCATGGGCCTAATTAGTCAGCTTCTAGCGGAGTTCTTGCCGTTTTTCACATTTTGAAAGTAGCGCAGCCTCAAAAATCGCCTTCCGGATCGTCCGACACATTTGAGAGATCGTAGCCTTATTTTATCGCGGAATGTGGCCTTTTAAGCCTGTGTAAACAAGCACTAAAGACGCGTCAAATGTCAAAATGTTCTGAGTACGTATATAACCTCAAAAAGGTCAAACTTTACGATAGAGCTGTCAGCTGCCAGATTGCAACACTGGGGTTGCCGAATCCCGAAATATAAAAGGCAGCCTACGTATTATACATCTCTTTTGAAGGAAAGTGACATGTGAATCGAGAAGGCGTGCAGGGTCGACACACCTGGCACGAAAGATACTGTGCCCCTTGACAGGCGCAGCGTGGCGAATTTCTCAACCAAGGGTACCGTTATAGCGTCTACCCGAGGTGCTTCCGGACGCCCATCACAACTGCCCACCCACAGCACACTTACATCGACGTTGGTACTCTTATCGCGCCACTCACGAAGTGCAACTGATATGCTATTACATGGATATACGGGGGGGGGGGTAAAAAAAGGCACTTTTCTTCATTAACTTTCGAGGCGCTATAAATTAACTTTTTATTATATTCTCATCGAACTTTTTCACCACCATATTAAAGAACATATTGAATACTATCACGATACTCCACCACAGCCTTCTGGACCACCGCCTATTGAGAGATTCTGCCCCGCAACCATGGTTCGGTGCCTGAGTTCAGCGAGATCGTTGATTTCTCCGCCACTGTAGACCACCCTATTGAACTCCGCCCGAACCAGGTAATTGAGGGTTCAGGTCAGGTGACCCGCTTAGATATTCCATCTTCTTCAGGAACTCAACGCCCTTCCATTCCAAGTAGGCGAGAGTTTTTCCAACGCCCTTCAATTTCATGTGGTGTCACCCAATCCTGTAGCAGTACAAAGTTTCCAAGAAGGTACGGGCGACGACATGTGGGGAGGATATTCTTCTCGAGTTGCTCGATGTAACCGCCAGCGCTCACCTTCAGTCCGGGTCCACGAAGAAAATATCGGTCTTTCCATTCCAGGTACGTCCGGTCCATACCATCAACCCGCGCCTTGGCGACTGTGGTGAGATGATGTCCTAGACCGTAGCGACGTTGTCGGAGCTGCTCGATGTTGGAGGTCTTCCAGATCGAGAGTACTGGTCTCCAGGTAGCTATCCATCCATACTAGAAGTTTCGCAGCTGTTTGGAGGTGACATGAATTCCAAAGGTCTTCTCCAGTCAGGCTGCGACTGGAGATGACTTCATATTTTGGTGTACATGAAGGTGATGGGCGAGAGCCAGCTCCTGCTTATCGAGGAACATCTTGGGTATCTTCCGCCCTGGTACTCGTATCCACGTCCTCTGTCTGGGCTGCGAAAACTTTGCTGATATGTGACTCGGTCGAAGTGTCACCT